GAGATAACCAAATCTTGCTAGGTTACATTTTTTTTTTTTTTAAATTTGTTTGCACCTTTTAAGTTCGAAAAAAAAGTATTCAATGCTTGCTAAAAACTTCAAGTATCCTTTATGGGGCCTCAAATGGTAATGATCCCTTCACTACTTAATCAACATTTGAATGTTTCCGCGTAAAAATGTAGTCCGTCCTTACAAAGAAAACAACAACATCAAAAATATACATATAACGACAGAACAGATAATTTATTATGCAGATTGTCAATTTCAGGTAGTTAACGAGCGGATGAATGTCTCCTAGCGTAAAAATTCCGCGAAATGTCACGTAAAGGTACAAGGCAGATCGTACGTGATAGACAAATCTAGCACGTGGTATGACATGCTATATCTCTGTCTGAGGTGCGAGGAAAACATGCTGCTGGTGCAAAAATTCTACAAACGATACCATGTTCCGTATTTTCTTCTTCATCTAGCAGAAATATCAGTACAGTGAAATTTGTTGGGAGTTGATATTGTTAGTTTAACATGACAATGTCAATGCTTTAATAAAATTGAAACTTCCCCGTGTGTAATGAATTCGTGTGTACTGGAGGTTTTGTGTTGGTGTATTCGTGATAGTGCGAATGGAATGCCGAAATCACACCACAGTACACCGCAAAGTCCCATAATGCTGACAATAGGTAGACAAGTCCTTACCGCTACCCATTTAAAAAGCTGAACGTAATGCAGAGATCAATCAATTAGAAGGACTTTTGTAAGTTCCGGCCTTGAGACAGAATAACCTTCCCCAACTAAATTAGCATGCATGTTCGTTATTTTTTATTTTACTTTTGTTTTGTTTTGTAGAATATAATTATTTTTTTTGTCCTTTATGTCAATGTCTTTTCAATGCAATTTTAACATGTTCATATTGATCCTTTACCAGGATTGGTTTGGTTGTTTGGTTTATCGGCTTTAGTAGTCTAGGTCATTTAAGGTCCCGCCTCCGTGTATGTAATGTATGCTTGTGTTGTTGGCATGCTTGCTTTCTTGCAAAAGTAGAGATATCTGCCTACTTTAGAGCGCTACCTCAGTAAAATACCATGCCAAATGCACCAACAACATTACCCCAAGCTGTCATAAACTAGTTCCTACGGCTGCCCACTTAAACCGCTTAGCGTCAAGCAGAGAGCAGCAAGTACATGTACCAAAGTTAAGGAATTTGGCATTTCCCTGCCGAAGGACAGAACCAATCGCCTTTTTCAACTTTGGTGTTGCAAAGCTAGGTGATAATAGATAAAACATATGTTAGGAATACATAATCCGAATGTTATTACTGTTGCAGCAGTTTGGTGTTCCAAAGTAAAGGACGCATAGTATAGACGATCATTTTTCTCCTTGATAGCCCAACAATACAACTAACATTTTCAGATAGTTTCTTTTCCTTTTCTTTTTAGGAAACCGAACACAATGCAGACAAAATACTAGAGAATTGTAGTTTCATAGCTTTTCTCTATAACACAGGTCTTCAGATGGAAACGTGATAACAACTTTCGAGTCCTGTATATGAAAACTCTTTTCATTTCCGTGGCCTCGAAGGCATTGTTCACCAATTGAAAGACATCGGTCTATTCTATAGACGCTGATGTCTTTTTAATCCATCTTATCTTCTTTGACGTTATATATATCACAAAGTCCATATCATCTTTTTGTTATCTCTTTTATTATTTTAACACCCTTTTATATTAATTTTCTACACATACAATGCGAATGCTTTTAAAAATATGTATTTGTATCTGATTTTATCTTCCATACTCAAATGTTTGTTTAAATAAAAAAGGGAAAAATAAATCACCATGGCCCTAAATGACCACAGCCGTCGATGGGCCGTTAAACACAAACAAACAAACAAACATTCAGACGGAATCAAATGCTTTACTTAGTGTATAAATGAACAAAAAAGCATTAATGTGCTAATGCGAATCATATTATAGTTACGGCATGTCCGCTATCAGGTGGCTTATCAGTAAAATCCTAAATCTTAGATAGGGGATTGTATAGGAGATCTCTCCGTGCACTTGTTTAAGCATTACACAGACGTACGATACAGTTAAATATTACGACAGATTTGATATTAATAGCCTTCTTCTTTTGTTAGATTGATTTAAAAAGATACTTGACAAGTTTATGACAATGCGGTAACAGCGTTTTGGCTTTGGCAAGGAGTTACCATGCTGGGTGATTACATTGTAAAAATCATAAAAGGATATGTTCCAAATAATAATTGGCGTTTTGAATCATAAATCATTCAAAAAGTAATAAAGCAATGTTGCTAGTTGAGTTATTTTGATCTTTCAAAAGATTAAATTATAACGGCTGTCATTTTAAAACATACTAGACACAATTTTGGTGTCACAGTGGTTAGCAAAATGTGTGAAGATAACACAGATAGTTGACGACACTACATTTTTTTCTTATAAGGAGAATAATTAAATTTAAATCAAATGTGGAACGTTTTGGTAAATACTCCGGGCAAATTTTTAATGAGTACAAGTGTGAAGGAATTTAGTTCGGGAAAATAGGTATAAGAACAATGGGAATGAATATGGCAAGGTAAGAGGTTGACTCTTTAGGCATATGTTTTTGAGCAAACAGAGCAAGCTTAAAACTAACGAACTAGAGAAAACACCCTGAAACTGTCAGGCATATAGATCAAACGGCTATAACTTCGCGACTTTCTTTCAACTAATCGATATGTGTCCCCCTTGTAAAGTACTAGTCGCTTTTTACAGACTCCTGGCAATGGAATTGAAAATATAATGCGCCCACGTGAGAACCCGGGAGGGACGGTAAAAATAATCGGCGATACATAAAGGAATCGCTATGAGCCCTGCACAACTCGACTCTAGGCTACTCTAAGCTCCTCTAAGAACTAATGAAGAAATAATGATCATTATTAATACTGTGAAGGAGACCTTGGTTGATTGTGTCTACACTGTTCCCGTCACTCCTACGACTGAGTAGGGAGTGGCATATGGTTGTGAGCTGGCTAACACGGACTGGTAGTTGAAGACATCTGCAATGCAATTGTGAAAGGGATGGAGGTATGCGTAAGTCGCCTGATTTTTCTTCCGGAGAGAAAGCGTCTTTCCCTTGAGCATAATGAGTTGTACATCTGAGGTGTGAGAAGGTGAGCCAATTTATATTGCCAGAAGCGCATAAGCTTCGAGCAATGAAGGGTGAGCACGATGATGTTGGACATCAATAGAAGGAGACCCTTTAATCGGTAATAAGGTCGTTAGGGAACTATGTAGGTTTTCAGGAGTAAATAAAACCCGGACAACTCTATATCGTTCAAAAAGGCAACACAGGAGGAAACACATAAGGAGTCAAGTTCTGACACAGACTTCGAGGTGGAGAGGTATGCTATACCTCAATGGAGAAAACCTCCTTAGTTATCTCCCTTGGTTAGTCCGTTCCATGCAAGTGGTATGAGACTTAAAGGACATACAACCAGGTCATCTGCACCACCTGAACCTGTTTCGACGGATATTTCAGGGGCTGAAGAGCCGGTGTATCCACGGAAATCACACAGGAACTGGAAACCGCCCGAAATGCTTGGCCGATGGGTGCGCTTCCTAAATGCTGTTTGTGGCATTCGTGAAGTCTGGGTGTAGTCTTTTTTATATTCAAATATACTTAGATTAATCCTAAGCACTCAGGCAGTATTTCGAAAAAGATGGAGCTTACAGATTATTTTCAGGATATATTTCAGGAATTCCTTTTCAATAATTTGTAACTAAATGTCATAATGACTGATTGATTGTATTACAGATTTTATTTACACAATTTCTTTGCAGGATTTTAATTATTTTAGTAAAAGAACATTGTATGCATTTCATTGTTTTGTGCAGATTTCAGACTTATATCGCTATGACAAGGCGGTATGACTTGGTTTCACGTAAACAGATTTTTAGTCAATGTTGTTTTAAGGTTATAACAAATGTCCGTCGGCGCGGAAGTTGATTTTGTATTTATTGTATGTATATGTGCGGGTGAATGTATTTACAATATTTTCCTGTATTGTAGGATTTTGTACTGTAATGAGAAAAGGGAAACACTAAACTTGTCCGTGTGCTTAATAATTGAGCAACCGGTGACATCTATAAAGTTTATATGAAATGAAGTGCGAGAATAAAGAAATTAGTTTGATTTCCATGGTTCAGGTTTCAAGGCCGATGTCAAATACTATTTATAAAAGATATGTCAGAAAAAGATAAGGAGAGGACTCTCACATACTTTACCTGTTGCCCAATTTCTCTTATATGCAAGACCTATACAATCAATATTCTTAAATGGAGGAACAAACATTCATAATCGAAAAAAAATCTCAGCAACATGCAGTCATTTGTTTATCCACTCTAGAAATGTTTTTCTAAAGTTTGATCCAAGATTCGGACGCAAACACTTCCTTCTCTTCTTGCAAATAATTGTGGAATAATCTGTTTTACCAATATTCGCGGTACTTCGCTATCACGGGTAATACTTTAGGGGGCAAAATAATGGATTACACTTTAAA